CCCGCCACCGGCTTTGGGTGAGAGGGGATAGAGTTGCCAGATCCAGGCTGAGAAACTCCTGGAGATTTGGAGATGGAGCCAGGGGAGGAGAGGGTCAGTGCCAAAGAGGCCGCCCTCCAAAGCATCCATTGTCTCCAAGGGCACTGGTCCCTGCAGTCTGGAGATGAGCTGTAATTCCGGGGGATGCCCAGGTCCCACCTGGGGCCTGGCATCCCTAGGGGGTGCAGAGGTGCCTGCCGGTGTCCTTGGGAGCGCCGTGGAGGAGGAGGAAGGGAGGGCAGACCGGGAGAGAGCCGAGGAGGGGCACTGCCTCTCTCCCAGCATCCCTTCTGTAGCCTCAGGAGCAGGATGTCTAGAAACGGGGGTCCAGTGGGGGGGAGATGGTTCACCCCCTTCTCCTTTGGCAGCTGGGAGAAATGCTTCAGGCGTGGAAGTGCCCTTCCTGGCTAAAGTTGGGCTCTCGGCAGTGAGACTAGCCCGCTGCCAGAGGGCCTTGGGAAAGCCAAGTGATCCAAGGGCAGAGACTCCAAGTGTGTTGCCTGCTTGGGGGCGCAGCTGTGGGCACGTCCAGACAGGCCAAGGGCAGCCAGAGAGACCCTGGGTCTTGTCTCCCTCCTAGGTCCGAATGTCTGAGCAGAACAGCACCCAGGATGGCGAGAGGAAGGCCACGCACAGCCTCTCGATGCCCTACCTGATGGTGCTGGTCTTCTTCGCCATGGGCCTGTTGGGATTCCTCATCTGCCACATCCTCAAGAAGAAGGGCTACCGCTGCCGGACGTTCCACGATGAGCTCGACTTGGAACACAAGGAGTCGCTGACCCCGCTGGATGGTGAGTGCTGCTGGCCTTGGAGGAGACACCCTGACTTCTACAGTGCACGAGCCCCTCAGGGTCTAGCAACTCCAGAGGTCAAGGGTGGTGGGGGTCTCCCCTGGATGTCACAGGAGGAAGGCTTTGGACAGGCAGAGCCCAGCGACTCCCCCCACCAAAGTATTCAGACCTGATGAGGCTTAAAGTCATTGGGTTTGGGACAGGGCCACACTCAGCGTTTTCAAGCCAGCCAGCTCCTCCCGCTCAGCAGATTCATCTCCAAATTTTGCCTTTGCTTCCACCTTCTCCATTCTTACAGCCCAATCCGATGCATGTTTACTCAGAAAGAAATCCTAACGTTTTAGTAGGACTTATTGTCAGGTAAATGGAGGGAAAGCGGCATGGTGTAGCTGGGTCTGCTCAGATCTCGGAAGCTAAGCAGGGTCAGTACTTGGAAGGGAGACCGCCAAGGGAGGCTCTGCAGAGGAAGTCAGTGGCAAACCACCTCTCTGCCTCTCACTTGCCTTGAAAGGCCCTTACTGGAGTCGCCATAAGTCTCTGCAGAGGAAGGCAGCGGCAAACCACCTCTCTGCTTCTCATTCACCTTGAAAGCCCCTTGATGAGGTCATCATGTCGAGTGCAACTTGATGGTGTTTTATGCAACCATTTTACACACACACATTCCCGGATAAATACGCACCGGGTTGCATCCACAAGCAATCTTATTGTTGTTTGAGATCAATTGACCCCAGAGCGGAACTTCTGCATCAAAGCAAAAAGCAGGATTAAGGGTCCTGCCTGTATATATCTGCAGGTCATTTGCATGTTGGCTAAAAATAACTTATAGAGTTGGTGCTGGAAGATCGCTCAGAGCTCAGAACTTGCAAGCCAATGGTGCAAAAGTCAGGCTAAAACTAACTAGCTGCTTGGGGCAATAATCCTAAGAACACTTTCCTGGGAGTTAGCTCTAGTGAATAGAATGGGACCTATTTCTGAGTAGACCCATTTAGGCTCGCTTCCTGGGTTTAGCAAAGTTTCTAAATTAACTCTCAATTAATACCTCTGCCAGCAAGCTAAGTAGAATGTGCACACTACAAACATCTTATGACTTATTATTTAGCCATAAGAGTGGCAAAGTGAAGCACATTCAATACATTTTACCACATATTCTGGAGTATGTGCTGGACATTAAAATGTCTGCTCTGATATTCTTGCCTTTACTTGTATTGTGGGTGAGGTATTGTGGGGAAGAAGGGTAGAGGACCTCAGCATAAGAGGAAGAGCATTAAGTTTCCTTCTTTTGCATTTACAGTGTAGGCTGAGGTCAGTGTGCGGCCAACCGAGAACCTGGGCAAATCCCAGCCTCTAAGCCCAGCTTCCTTCATGATATTCTCATCAAGTGAAACTAAAATAAGGCTTAGCACAGTGGTCTGCCTCCTTCTCAGCCTGGCTGGGACCCACCTTTAACATGCCCCCTCCCGTGCAGTATGGGAACTGCAAGCATTGATAAGAAGACAGATGTCCTCACCTGGTTGCAGGCCCGTAGCTACATCGGATCATTTCGAGGCCCGGCCTCCCGACTTTCCATCAGGGTCCCCCAACTTATTACCCTTGACAGGCAGGCAAGGCAACCAGGTGGGCCCCGGACAAGATGTGCTTGCCAACCGACCAGTGGGCAGAGTGTCTGGTGGCCCAGCGCAGCCCTCGTCCTTCGCCTCACCCCACGGCGCTCCGCTCTGCTCCCAGCGGCCGCCTTGCCATCTCCGGCCCCAGCCAGTCCCTCCCACGCCGGGCAGAGTGAGTGAGCGCCTCTGCCTGCCTACCCGCCCAACTGGGCGGTGATTTGGCTACTGCATCAGTTAGTTTGCTCTGGAGCCCCATCCTTCCTGAGCGAAGACAGAAATGTGTGAGCCAGAGGCTAAAAAACTGTGAGCTAGCACACACTAATTCAGCTTAGAGGGAACATTGGTGGGGTGTCCACACACAGGCCAGGTGGGCACACCCCTTCGTCCCGGGGCTCCAGGATGACAACTCCTGCTTCAGGCCTGGGTCTGAGCAGCGGAGGCAAGGGAAGCGGGGAGCCGGGTGCAAGGGAACTTCAAAACCTCCCCCGCAGCGCACCAGGACTCAGTCGGGGCTGGAAGTCAACTCTTTGGAAGGCCCTTATTCGAACCCTTTTTATTTTAATTTCAGTGCCCCCTGAATTATTTAAAGCCCCCCCCCATTTAAGAAATCCTGGCTAGGGGCCTGCCTGGTTGACTCTTGCACTGCCACCACCTTTCCCCTGCCCCCTTCTGTTTGCTTTGTCTTCCTGCTCTCTCCTTGCACCTTCCTTCACTCCCTTTCAATGTCGTCTGCTACCTGTGTTCTCTCACTCCATCACAATCTTCTCTGCCTTCTCTAGCTTGGCGACCAATGCCTGCACTGCTTCCTCTTGGCACAGGCCCCTGGACCAGTATCAATGATTATCAATACATCCGTGTGTACCTTTAATCACACATTCACATTGTATAATCATCACTGACATTTGGTAAACTTGCATAAGCTGGAAATAATATATCCTTTCCCCCAACAGCATAACATTTTAAAGAACACGGAGGGCGGCTTTGCCTGGGACAGATGGAGGATAAATGTGGGCAAGTCCTCCAGATCTACCCTAGGAGTCATTTCCCAACAGACCTCCCCATGTGGTGTGTGCTGAGAACCAGCCCCAGAAACACCCAATATTCAATAAGACTTTTAGGTGGCTAGACAGCACAAGTTCCCCAGGTCGCTCTTCTTTTTCAGTATCACACATTCCCTTTTCCATTGGTACCGGACCGCCCTGTTTGGTGTGGTGGTTAAGAAAAGCGGACTCTAATCTGGAGAACTGGGTTTGATTCTCCACTCTTCCACATGCAGCCAGTTGGGTGACCTTGGGTCAGTCACAGGTCTCTCAGAGCTGTCCTCTCAGGAGCAGCTTTCTCACCCAGCAGGAACTCATTAGCATAATAGGCCACACCCAACAGCAGGAACTCATTAGGATTGGCTACATTAGGGGTGTGTGGCCTAACATGCAAAGGAGTTCCTGCTACAAAAAAAGGCCCTGGGTTTTGACAACAAACAAGGTAAACAGAATAAGAAGCAAAAGGTGGGTGTGGCTGGATGAGCACACTTCTGGTAACATGGGGGTGCGTCCTAATGTGCTAATGAGCTGTGCTGTCAGGGTGTGGCCTATTGCTAATGAGTTCCTGCTGGGCTTTTTCTACAAAAAGAGCCCTGACATCCTTTCCCCCAACAGCATAACATTTTAAAGAACACAGAGGGCGGCTTTGCCTGGGACAGATGGAGGATAAATGTGGGCAAGTCCTCCAGATCTACCCTAGGAGTCATTTCCCAACAGACCTCCCCATGTGGTGTGTGCTGAGAACCAGCCCCAGAAACACCCAATATTCAATAAGACTTAGGTGGCTAGACAGCACAAGTTCCCCAGGTCGCTCTTCTTTTTCAGTATCACACATTCCCTTTTCCATTGGTACCGGACCGCCCTGTTTGGTGTGGTGGTTAAGAAAAGCGGACTCTAATCTGGAGAACTGGGTTTGATTCTCCACTCTTCCACATGCAGCCAGTTGGGTGACCTTGGGTCAGTCACAGGTCTCTCAGAGCTGTTCTCTCAGGAGCAGCTTTCTCAAGAGCTCACTCAGCTCCACCTACCTCACAGGGTGTCTGTGGTGGGGAGAGGAACGGAAGACAATTGTAAGCCACTCTGAGACTCCTTCGGGTAGTGAAAAGTGGG